CAACATACATGTACAGTACATGCCCATACCAGAGCTCAAGGCTAGCTTTCAGAACAAAATGAAAGTGCATACAGTCATGTTCTTCATTCAGAAATGTTACATTGGTTGAGTAAACACACTGTATGTAATCCTAGGCCTTGCAAGATCAAAACATTGTAGTAAAAATATGTTGATGCCCTTTCAGGCTTGCACACACATACAGTGCACATTCCCATAGCCACGCACGTTATAACACGAAGTACACACACACATGCACACTGGGATCGTTTTAGCATGCACACACTCCCGTACTACACATATAGCCATGACTCATGCATCCATGAATGAAGGCCAGGGATCACATTATGTGAATGGGGTATTCAACACAGTAATATGTTTACACATGTCAGTGCCTTGGCCCTGCCATTTATGTGTGTAATGTGTGTATGATTAGCAGAGCATTTTTGTACAGTGTGTATTGACAAGACAGAATTCCATGTGCTTTGAAAAACTAGCTAAAAAAACAGTGGCCTACATTGAGCAGGGAACAGTCAAGTGTTTCATTGGATGGATACAAATTGATATCATCAAAAAAATGGTTCAATCACGGTACAAAATGGAACTTTGCTTTAAATATTCTACTAGAAATCCATTAAATAGGGGGAAAGATTTTACATGAAATACACAAATGGCTTATCGATTAAACTTGTTTGTTATTAATATAATATGTTTGGTAGCCAAGAGTGTTTACATTAACCCAAAGAATAGTAAACACACATTATAATTTTAAAATCAAATAGTGATGAAGACTCCCTAAATCCTGTAAGATTGCACAATGTTCCCCTTAACTGCTGCTCTATTTTTAGTTCTTATAAGTTATAGCGACTATCAACAGATATGGCACAAGGCCGGGGCAAAGAACAAGGACAACTATATCTGCCTAAATGCAAAACCACACAAGGTCAATTTTCAATATCATTTATGGGCGTGAAAATATGGAATAGTATACCATACGATTTAAGAGGAATACGATCTAAAAATGCTTTTCGGAAGGGGTTAACGACACATCTAAATACTTTGAGTTAAACAAAGGTTAAGACTTCTTAAAATGGCAAAAAGAAATCTCAGATTAGAGAATTTCTAAAAAGATCACTAGATAAAAATGATATATTTTTTATTTACTGTATGTTTGGTTTTGATACGGAAGTCGACACACATTTGACTTCCATGTATATTAAGTAAGGAATATTTCTAAATGACTATTATATTTCTTTGTTTACTTATATAGTTTATGTTACATGTATATAATGTAGTATATTTTTAAAAAATATTTTTAAAATAGTTTTAAAATTCTTGCCAAAGACGGAACCAGACTCGACTAGCACTTGTACTAACTTCTGGTACCCCCTTTAACAACAAAAGTGTACACATAATATTTAATTCCATTTGTATACGACATACTTTGTAAAACAATATTTATATTATTCATGAGTAATGTTATCGATCTTGTGTTATATTGTTATATTTTATGTAATCATGCTTGATACATTATGTTTAAATTGTTATTATTTTTGTTGTTAATAAACTTAAACTCAAACTCAAACTCAAACTCAAACATGACAACATACTAGCTATATGTTTCTAAATACTCATACGACGGTAGGCTACTTAATTTTGATTGCCTTTAGTATCAATTCATTACATCTTAGTTCCCATCTACTGGGTGGTGGAGAGTAATTTTATGATTGAAATAATGAAGAAGAAAAAAAAATGTCTGAAATAATAGTTCTGTTTCTGTTCTGAAGGTTTTTTTTAAATATCCTTCAAGTTAAATCCTAATTCTTATAAAATGTACCAAATTCCTCTAAAAATCATAAACATGATGAGATGCCTCCGGTAATAGTTTCAAATCTAATCATCCTCTATAGTGGATATTTTTTTTTTAGTTCATAAATTAAAACACAGCCCTCTTTTGGAGTAAATGCAGAAAGTGGACTCACAAGTTTGATACACAGAAATTACGCCCATTTGCAATTTTCACACCCATCACTATGACACCATGCCTTAAACCAAAACAATAACAATGTCTGCTAAAGATACTACAGATACTACAGTAGCTGTCCATAAAACCTACATGTATACATGTACAGTATACTCCCTTTTGTTCCCTACCAACATTTAGCCCAAACAAACCCTTAAATATTTTGAAATAATTTTGGAGGTTTTCTTTTTCTCTTATAATCCATGAATTAAACAGTGATACACAATATATTATTATAGGAAAAGGGTTCAAACCCTAAAAATAAATGTAATTCCTGGTGTTTTAGCACCCCCCCCCCCCCCCCCATCAAAAAAATGACTGAATTTTTATTTTGTATTTTGAACAGGTGTTTGAAGAGATACCAGCTTAATTTGCAACGCTGCAGTATTACTAAAAAAGACCACTTCATAAATACAATTTGCGCATGGGTCAATAAATGTCAGTTTTACAAAAATCATAAACCTCATCGAGATGAGTACTACTACTGGACTTGTGCTCATGAAAGTTATGTAATCATTACTTATTTATTACCCGACAACATAATTCTCTGACACACAGGTGGAAGTACATGTACATGTCTTCTTCTCAAGAAGGCAAACAAAAGTTTTTAATAAATCACCATTACTTTGGCAGTAATTATTCAAAGGGTGCATTCAAGTGTCACTTTGTCACCCTAGAAAAGCAGTTTTCAAAGAAGTTTAGTTTAAAACACAGATGCGTTGAATCAATTTCAAGCGATTTTTCGTCCGTCGTAAAAATAAACGTGTTTCAAAACGCTGAAAAAGATGCGTTTTGTAACGAAACGGAGATCTCAATCATGACTCTTTGACGTCATTGCCGTGGCCTGCAATCGGTTTTGCCGACAGTAGACCGTAAACAAATTCAGAAAGCGCGTGCCACAGTTGACCTAGACTTCCTTGGTCAAATTCCCCCACGTGATGCGCAGTGGTTGGGCTTGAAATGAGCGAGAATCAGCGTTGATGGAAAATGTAACAGCGTTTTGGTTTGTGATGCTTCTACATGTAGCTTAAAAAAATTGCTTGAACGCACCCTAGAATGCACAGAGTGAAATGTCTCCATGTGTACAAGATACAGGTACCGGTATGTGGATATTAGGGGGTCATTTGTACCAAAGCTAACTACTAACAGGTCAATATCTTGCAAATATTTTTTGTCATAAAAATGAGGACCTGATTTAACTGCTACAAAAATATCTGATAATCTGTAGAATACTATTTCTATGAGGTCCACCTTGAGTCACCTGGGCAATCTTACTCCTATTGTCTTGCGAAAAGAGAATTCAATCTTTAAGGAAGGAGATTGGTGTTATTTTATTTTTTCAGAGATACATATTCTAATGGTAAAGACCAATTTTATCACAAATTGTTTTCATATTTCAAACCCAGTTGAGATACAGTGTATCATTTCAAAGATGAATTTTGTAACCTCACTTTCTAAATTTCTCAAAACCATACATCTGCTTTGTGTCAAAATACATCTGTCTCTGTGAAATACGTCAATACAAATTATTTCATTCACCCGTTTCAATTAATTGCATTTCAGTAGTCATTACATATTGTCAGGTAGGGCATGATATGTTTGTCTATGTTTATAAAGATCCTATATTCAAGCAAAACCGTTACCCTCAAATTCAGCCTAAATTATGGGCAGCAAGTTGCCCGAATACTCTCATATTTAGGCTTCAGATAACTGAAAATGTAATTTCTGTTATAATTTCTGTTATTTTCACTCGTCAAAATGCCAAAAAATTTGCACATGAGCGAAGAAACTTAGGAAGACTGCAGAAAATCTAAAAACTGAAGAGTTGATAATGATATTCGGCATGTTCATGGAGAAGGCATCAGCCACCCTCGCAAAATATGTGCCCAGCGTAAGCGATCTCATGTTCAAAATCATATCTAATGGTCATAATTATCAAAAGTAAACTATAAAAGCTTTCAAGCTTTGAAACTTACAAGTTTCAACTGCCATTATTGGTATTGGTCAATGTTTTGGCTAAATTTTGCATTTGAACTTAGACCGACACGAAAGCTTCAGACCTCAATCTCTAATTTTATCAAGTCCTGACCAGTGTTCCGCTGAGACTACATCTGGCTCCACTGACCACCTTGATACAGTCCAGACTACTGATGGGGAGTCTGGCTAACTCGGACCCGGGGACAACTCGGCCTGCTGCAAAAGCGCCGAGTTTTTGCCGGTTTAGCCAGTAAAGTTTAGGCCTTAATTAGGGTTAGGTTTAAGGGTTAGGTTTAAGGGTTAGATTTAGGGTAAAATGACCAAAAAAATTGACTGTTTTTGCAGTGAGCCGAGTTGTCCCCAGACTGCCAGAGCTCGCCCATATCCACTGATGCAATGGGTATGGGAAAGGTTGACAAATAAATAACTGTATTTTTCATTAAAGAATTTCCCAAACCAGACTTTAGTTTCTGTCTAACTCTAACTTTAAATTAGACCTAGAGTCTAGATCTAGTTTAGAGTTTGATTGCAATTGGTCAGTTGTATTTAGACCTTCGTTCTACACATTAGTATAGAAAGTAGAATCTAGTCTAGATCTAGAAGATCTAGACTCTACATGCATGCTACTTTGCCAGATCCAATTAAATAAGGCCAGGGTTTACCCTATCCCTAGGATTAATTTCAATTAATTACATTGTTTACACAGGCCACAGCACACAAGATCATCAACATTCACACTGAATGCCATTTTTATCATCGACTTAGTGTAATAACACGCAAATTTAGCCTGCCCTGAGCCCATGATGTTTGATATTTTCTACAACGCACATGCACATAGAACGTGTGTATGGACATGTCCGTCCTTGATTTCGAGCCCTTCACAACACGACCAATGCAATGCACGCCATTATGATCACCGAAACCTCGGCCTTGCATCAACCAAACAAACTGTCCGCACACGTAACGCACAGTGCAACCAACCAAAACAACGGCAAAATCTCACCTCCTAAAATCACACTGCACAGGAATATAATCCACGGTTGTCGACGACAACGTTGCATCGCCATAAAGGCTGTTTTCCCGATTTAAAAACGTAATTTTTCCATGCTCTTGTGGTGTCCACTACACCAAGAGTTTCATCGTAGCACAAGTTTGATTGTCCAAAGTTATTATGACGAACTACAAATTCAGAGGAGGGATACAAAGACCTTCGGCCAGTGGTGTGGCGAACACTTGACCTCGACATTGCCGAATGGTAACTCAGCGCGCGAATCGAGCATCGAACTATTTGACGTATGGGCTCTTCCGCTTCACAGCGTCACCCCTCCGGTCAAATGTCGCTGACCATTCTTAAAAGTTATCCTGCAATGTTTTTAATGTTCTTAACAGACTGAACACGTACTTGTCCCTGAGCTCATATCAATTTCTCTTTAACCAGTTTTGGAAGCCTCAACATTTCACATTCAACATTTCACATTAATCATTCAGGCAACAAGCAAACAGGTGTAGTAATGATGGCGCTATACCACGAAATCAATTAAGAGCTCAAGATTAGGAATGAAATTACCTAGAGCACATTTAACAATTTTTACGATGTTTTGTTTTGATTTTCGCTTTAGAAAATGTAAAGATGGAATAAGATCTTTTTTTTAGAGAAAACCAGAATCGGTGCTCACTGAGCCCGGGCCCCACAGTGCCCCCTTTTACTTCAGATAAGTGCCTCTTTTTCTTTCCAATAGAGATGCCCGTTTCACATTCATATCAGTAACCTTTACCACCTGTGATAAGTGCACCTCTGATAATTGCCCTTTTTCAAATCTGAGAGGGGGCCCTTTTTACTTTAACAAGAACCCCTTTACCTTTGTAAATATTGCCCCTTCTCCTTCTAATAAGTGCCCCGTTTCATTGTGATAAGTGCCAATAAGAGCCCCTTTCACTTCTCGTAAATAACCATTTTCACCTCTGATATATGCCCCTATTAAAATCTGATTGGTGCCACTTTTCCTTCGACAAATGCCCCTTTTCCATACTCACAAGTGCCTCATTTCACCTCTGAAAAATGCCCTCTTTAGTTCTGATAGTTGCCCCTATTCAAATATGAATTTTGACAAGTGCCCCTTCCCCTTCTGATAAGTGCACCTTTTTCATCTCTGGTGAGTGCCCTTCTTCACCTCTGATAAGCATCCCTTCTATTTCGATACGTTCCCGCTTTTTCTTTCTGATAAGTGCCCTTTTTCGTTCTGATAGGTGCCCCTTTTCCTTTTTAATGAGAGTCCCTCGCCCTTTTCCTTCGAAAAATGACACTTTTCCCTTTATAATATATGCCTCTTTTTTCCATTTTTATAAGTGTCTTTTCATCTCTGGCGAGTGCCCCTTTTCAGGTGCGAGAAATGTACCTCTTAACCTCAGAAAGTTGCCCTTTTTTACTTTGACACGTGCTCCTTTTCCCTTCTGATAATGCCCCTTTTCTTTCTTCATAACAATACATGTGTGCCTAATTTAAACGTACTATGTCCCATTTGCAGGCCAAAAAAATGAAAAAGTTAAATTCCAACTGCATTTGAAAGATAATACTAATGTAGAACTTCCCTAAATATGATGGGGCTTGAAAATGTCTTCAAGTGGGAAAATAACAACTATTAGTTGTCAAATCGACTTTAGGGCTATAGAGCCCAAAAGTAATAGTCTTGATTTTCAGACAATTTTACCGAATGGTCATACGTTTTATGCTGCGCAAAGATTCAATCAGTTTAATCTTGGCCATCACAGGAAGTAGGTTATTGATGTAGACAAATGCTCATGTACTCTTTACAACTCTTTTCATGTATGTTATTACCAAAGAAGAAAAAAAGGCAGTCAGTCACTCAATAGTGTCTGACAGTGAAGTCTAGCAAGGAAACGGGTTTCCTTGCATAATTTGAACATGAGGACACTGCTAACGTTTAAATTTCACAGATAGGACATACATGACATATTCAAAATTCCTGAAAAGTTCTACAGCATTTGAGGTTGGCCGCAAAAGGGACATAGTACCTTTAAAGCGACTAAGAGCCTTTTTATTTAATTTCCCAAAATGATAAAATTAACGAACTTATTAAAGGTATTTTCAGTCTTTCATGATGACATTATGCTTGTAACCACATCAGGACCCCCCCCCCCCCCCCCCCCTCTGTATAAGATGTAATTTTGACAATGCGACCTCATGCATGATAACAACTTTGCTCGCTCGCAAATGGATATTCAGACCATCACACACAGCTGCAAGTATGATACGTGAGCAGTATCTTGCATCATGTAAAGAGAGAAACATAAATTAAAATCATCATGTTTTTGTAGGTTCCCGATAATAAATATAATATGAACATTATTTTCATAAATCATTTTAAATTGTCTTAATAATCACAGTAAAATAAATATAATATCATAAGTTTCATAACATATTTTCAAAAAAACCCTTTTAAAGTATTTGTATAATCGAAATATACAAAAAGAACATAATTACAAAACGGGACACAGAGGACAGGAAACTGACATAATAAGATACCAAAGTCTAAAAAATGTATGCTTTGGGGTTTCCCCTTTTGCCCTTTTTCTTTTTTTAAATTATTAAAGAAAGAAAACGATTCGTTGGACCGTTCTCGATTCTTAATCCTTGTTTGAATTAAGTTCCCCTTCCCCCGCGCGTAGCGCGGAAGCTCTGACGTTTCATTAAATTACTAAAGAAAGAAGACGATTCGATGTACCATTCTCGACTCTAAATCCTTGTCTGAATTCAGTTCCCCCCCCCCCCCCCGCTAAGCGCAGAAGGTCTGACGTTTCATTAGATTATTAAAGAAAGAAGACGATTCGTTGTACCGTTCTCGACTCTTAATCCTTGTTTGAAAAAAGTTCCTCTTCCCCCGCGCGTAGCGCGGAAGCTCTGACGTTTCATTAAATTACTAAAGAAAGAAGACGATTCGATGTACCATTCTCGACTCTAAATCCTTGTCTGAATTCAGTTCCCCCCCCCCCCCGCTAAGCGCAGAAGGTCTGACATTTCATTAGATTATTAAAAAAGTAGACGATTCGATGTACCATTCTCGACTCTTAATCCTTGTCTAAGTTCAGTCTCCCCGCTCCCGCGCGAAGCGCGGAAGCTTTGATGTTTCATTAAATTATTAGAGAAAGAAGAGGATTCGTTGTACCGTTCTCGACTCTAATTCCTTGTCTGAATTCAGTTCCCCCCCCCCCCCCGCTAAGCGCGGAAGGTCTGACGTTTCATTAGATTATTACAGAAAATAGACGATTCGATATACCATTCTCGACTCTTAATATTTGTCTAAATTCAGTTTCCCCGCTCCCGCGCGAAAGCTTTGACGTTTCATTAAATTATTAGAGAAAGAAGACGATTCGTTGTACCGTTCTCGACTCTAAATCCTTGTCTGAATTCAGTTTCCCCGCTCCCTCGCGAAGCACGGAAGCTTTGACGTTTCAATAGATTATTAGAGAAAGAAAACGATTCGTTGTACCATTCTCGACTCTAAATCCTTGTATGAATTCAGTTTCCCCGCTCCCGCGCGAAGCGCGGAAGCTTTGACGTTTCATTAAACTATTAGAGAAAGAAGATGATTCGTTGTACCGTTCTCGACTCTAAATCCTTGTCTGAATTCGGTTTCCCAGCTCCCGCGCGAAGCACGGAAGCTTTGACGTATCATTAGATTATTTGAGAAAGAAAACGATTCGTTGTACTATTCTCGACTCTAAATCCTTGTATGAATTCAGTTTCCCCGCTCCCGCGCGAAGCGCGGAAGCTTTCTCCGATCTCACCACGAATTCGTCACAGAGTTCATCTATGTTTACACTGTCCAGGATTGTCTGATTTGCATTACAGATTGCTACTTTTGCGCTTCGCGCTTCACATTTAGCTAGTTGCTTTTTAACGCTGCGTCTTTGCATTAGGCGCACTGCATTTCTATGATGCTGTTGATGGAACAAATTGAATTAATCATCAATTCCTGATGTAGCCGTATGAGCGAGAATTCAATATATTCTTGTCTTATATACCGTTGTCTCATTTACTTTGTATATTATGTATATGTATAATGAAAATGATATAGCAAAATGTGTGTATTGATGGTCATCTTGCGAGTAATAACCATTAACTACTCTCATCGGGCTATCATCATAAATTTTTCTCTTCATTTTTTTTGTTTGATGGTGAATTATTGGGGGGGGGGGATGATTGTACAGGCCACCCCCCCCACCTGAAATATTGGGGGGGGGGATATATCCCCCCCCCCCCGGGATCGACACCCATGCCGGAAAACATCAATCATTATACTTGCATCATCAATACATTACAAGTCATGTATCAAATAACAAGTGAAACGTAATCACAAGTGGATTGTTGTTATTTTTATTTCCCTATAATAAAATCAGATAAAATACATACAAGTATATCATACAGAGAAAAGGGGACAAAATACGGCTGGTAGCCCATTTTCAGCTGCAACTACAACAGTGTTGCTACTGGTCTTCCATTGAGTGAGATAGTAGGATTGAATGAGATGTATTGGCATCAAATTTCTTCAAATTTTGACATTCCGTGTTTTCATTTGCGCTTATAACATTTCTGATATTAAACAAATTGGGATTTCCTTCTTAATATTTATGAACAAAAGGTAATTTAAAAAAAAAAAGTGTTCTATAGGCCCTATACCAGATAATACATATTACAAAATATAGATCAACATGGTTAAACTCTTCATAACTAATAAAATATAACACTGGTATATAGAAGTTTTCATTTTTTTTTTTACATATTAGGGCCTAACATTATTATGCCCGAAATTTAAAAGAAGGAATAAAAACATGCTTTCCATCGTCGCTTCATATCAGCAAAAGGCAAGTAAATTGTGTCAATTTTTGTGTGTGGAACTATGAGCGTCATGTATGTTATAGCTTGGGTTATCAAATGTCCTACCTGCAAAATTCTCATGAGTGAACATGCTGAACATCTTCATTTAAAAAATAACGCAATGCTCAGTATAAGAAGTGGTTTGTTTGTCGATTCAAAATCGACAAACAAACCACTCTCCAAGTTCAAGTATCTTAAAGCCCCACTACACTACTTGTATCTACTTGCACCCTCTATATAGCCCATAATGCACAAGCGGTACCCGTTGGTCCCCCATGATCCCCTTTTTCTTATGTTAATTGAGAGCTGATTTGTTGAGATTATTACCGTCTGCCAGGGCCAAAATCACGGAAGCTTGTAACGATGAACTTTTGTTTTTTTTACTAAAGAAAAAAAAATCTGACTGTCAACCAATCATCTTGATTCAACTTGTACAGAACAGCGAATCATGCATGGTGTAATATTGAATATATTTATATTTTGCATTTGCATTAACTTTTGATCTTCTGTAGTAACGGTTTCAAATTTCTTCTCTTTCTCTTTTGATTCCCGTACAATATATAGTGTAATATGAGTAGTATTTCTCTTGAAATGCTTTCATATTTCGAATATGACTAGACATACAAATTCCATGTATCATGTATTTAAATACCATATGAAAAACCATATGATCAGATATACTTATCCCTATTTTTCAAATAATCAATCATTCAGGAAAAATCTTTTTCACTCGGTGCAAGACCAGAACTATTAGTTTGCTAATATTAGCCAGGTTGCCTCGTCGGCCGTTAACATTTCAACGAGTAGGCCCTGCATTTCATTTATTGATTTTCCAAATTATAATGAAGAAGAAAACTATCGTAGGTTTCATAAAATACAAATAAATACACAAACAAACATACAAACAAACAAAGAAGTAAGTGACAACAGAGGAATTTTTTAAAAGTAAATTAGTGTGTGGATGAGTAACAACAAAATCAAAGTTGCTTGTCAGGATGATTAACTGATTCAGTGAAGGTGCCGTGGTGTATCTAACGTTTCATTCATTTGACTGAGTTGACTCCAAATGAAAAGGTTGAGGGTTCGAAAGTCCCATGCAGGCCGGCACAAACGTGGTTTAATCCAGGTATAAGTTGAAAATTCGTGTAGACAGACACTGCTATTTTGTTAAATTTTAATGTATTTAATTACTAAAATAAGAATATTTTTTATTATTCACAAATTTGCATTTCTCAAGAATATCGTTTCAATATACATGTAGGTCTATATATTTTTTAAACCTTATCATGACCTTAATGAAATGGCCCAGATTGTAATTAGATTGAAGCCCACATTGCATATAGTCTCAGAATATTATACACTGTATTTGGTTTTATGTTGTTCAATTAAAATTATGTGGTATTTATAAAAAAATTAATTGGTAATGGTCATGATGGGCACATCCACCTCTAGTCCAGAATCAGGCCGGTTCTTATTCCATGATCCAGTACAAGTCATGTTATTCCTTACACTTGCTGCAAGCCGCCGAAGATGGCGTTATCAACGAACTCGTACGCCCAGATTTTATCACCGAGCGTAGAAATTCGGGGATCGCGTAATATTCGGCTTGCAGCAGGTATAGGGGAGATCGCGGTGGTGGAAATTATCAAAATTTAAATCGGCCAAATTCTGGACTAATCCAGTATTACACCACCAACTTTATGGCAAAACGGGCAGATTATCAATACTGATGGTACTAGATAACATAACATTGTTTTTATTCTGCTTATTTTATATTTTGTATGTACATAAACAATTTTTTGTTTTGTTTTTGTTTGGGGGGGGGGGGTCACAGATATCATGTTCATTAACATTCTGTTTCCATGGCAACGTCAATCCTGAATTTTGACATTCTTTCAAAATGTGGGCCAAAAGTGCATGACATTTTTAGCAAACTGCATGCATGTGGCATTCAACCCTATCTTATTTCTTGGTATTTTTGCAAGTGTTTTAGCATGGATGCCACGCCTTTTACCCCCAAAATACCGTCCAACGTATAAAGAAAAATCACGTCTTGGCTGAGCTTGGCTGGTCTACCGTAAACAGCAAGGCAAGTTGCCTTGAATGGAAACGAAATTATTAATGGCAAACAAAATCTAAGTTTAGTTTATTAGGCAAAGAAAGACAAAAAAAAACTACATCATTTACTAAAGCCAAGTCTGAGCTTATTCGGCATAATAATAATTATTCATGTGGTACGGTAATTATCTGAGTTGATTTATAATATCTATCAATAAATGTTATAACAAGGTTATATAATGTATGACGACTGATATTATGAAAATCCACTAGTTCTATATGAATCATATTAGGAATAACACTGGGAATAACTTCGCTCGGATTTGAATCCATTCCTCATCGTGAAAATAATCCACTCCACAGTTATGAATGTGTCCTCTTTTAAGAATGGATCCCATTCTTTTCAATGTGAATTTCACACTACATTAAAAGTAATTCCTAATATTACACCCTCCCCCCCCCAAAAAAAAAATAAAAAAATTAGATGTCCTTTCCTGTATAATTGAGTATGAAAATCATTCAAAATCGATTTATTCATCCTGATAAACAAAATTAATTTACAGCAATTATGGGCGAGACTCCATCCTCTCCACAATCTAGGACCTAATGGTTTCCAGCATACGGGGCTATCCCAAATCGATCAGCATCTGAAGACAGTGGCGGATCCAGGGGGGGGGGACGCCCCCCCCCCTAGAGAAAAAAATCATGTAAAAACACGTGATTTTTACCTCTTTTTTTTTGGGGGGGTGCACATTTTTAAATTTTTGAGGACCAAAACAAAAAAAATGTGCTCACTGCCCCCCCCCCCCCCCCCCCCCCCCCACTCAGCGATTTTTTTTTTTTTTTTTTTTTTTTTTTTTCGGCCGGCGCGATTTTCAAATTCTCGGGAGCATAAAAAAAAAAAGTTGGGCCCCCTCCCCTAAGAAATCCTGGATCCGCGCCATTAAGATTACCGCTATTAAGTTTGATGTTGGTGCGATTGTAGCCTGTCCTGTCATAACCTATTCAACTTTATCACACAGAGAGGGGCTTTTAATCCGATCTTTTAATTTCTCCATTTACTCTTTTTTTCGGGCCCGTTTTTTTTCCTTCAGATCTTCCTTCCTCTCTCTCTCTCTCTCTCTCTCTCTCTCCCCTCTCTCACTCTCTCTCTCTCTCTTCCCCCCTCTCTCTCTCTCTCTTCTATCCACCCCTCTTCCTCCTCCTCGATCCACCTTTCCCCCTCCTCCCTAATTTTATCAGATATATTCAATGTGCATGACCGTCAGAATACAGAGGGATCACATAATCTTTAAAGGAAACCAAAACCTTCATACTAAGTTACTTTTATTGTAAAGTTTAAAAGATTTGAATAAAATCAGTGACAATTTGAACAAAATCGGGCAAGGAATAAGAAAGTTAGAGCCTTTTGAAATGACTAGTCACTAGAGGGCGGTATTCAATTTGATGACATCATCTGTGAACAACTCTCCATGCCTTTTGTACATAAAATTTCACAATTTTTTTGTTTTCTTCGTATATATTTGTGTTCTTGATCCGACTTCATAACATGTGAAGTAGAATATCATTTTGCATTCTATATATTGCTTTCAGGGGAGTACATTATCTCAATCACAAGAAAGAAGGAAAAACATGAAATTTGATGTACAAAAGGCATGGAGAGTTGTTCACAGATGATGTCATCAAATTGAATACCGCCCTCTAGTGACTAGTCATTTAAAAAGCTCTTACTTCCTCATTCCTGGCCCGATTTTGTTCAAATTTTCACTGATATTTTTCAAATATCTTAAACTTTACAATAAAAGTAACTTAGTATGAAGGTTTTGGTTTCCTTTAAAGTTGTCAAAAGGGAGAAAGGGGGAAGAAAAATTGAAAACATAAACATAAAACATGGAGGATATTTAAAAAAAATGAAACGAATAAAAACAAGGAAAATGATAGTCCCCCTATTTTCATTGCTGACCCTGCGCATTGCACATTATCTTGCTAAAGTGCCAGAAAACACTTTATGAAAATTACATAAACTTCAGTAAGGCCTATAATAATTTATATAATTTAAAAATGTCAAAATTTCGCATTTTCCTCATTTGTCGAAACATTGCATTGCCCCCCTTTACGATTGATACTGATGAATAAAGTGAATAAAATTAGAGCCCATGCACGAACGCAACATCTTGGGCGGTAACAAATCGTAAATGGGCGTGGCGTGGTCGAGTATATGGGCGGCGACATGGGCGTGGCAATTATAATAATAGACATGCGCACGTGTTGTGATAACTCGGCACCGCAAACAGCACGCAAACGTAACTTATACGCACGGCATGCAGGTAATTGATTGAAGATTTATAATCATGATTAGGGTCTATGTGTTCGATATCATTTGACAACTGTGCCCTTGATAGCATCAATCCACCAAGTTTTTAATGTTTCACCAAAGCGTGACAGCAATCTTTCCAGGGAAGATTGTAGTGTACCATGTACTACATTTCATGTCTTGTTTAATGTTATGAACTTAAAGTAAACGCGCGCTGACACAGGCAAGGGAGATGAGATGACGCGATTCCTAAGTGTACATTGACTAAAAAGCGATGGATTCCACTCATGCATGTACGAGGTCAGTGCGAGGAAGCTGAAAGTATAAAGGAAAAGGACGCAGTCGACCAACTATTAGGTCTATGTTTGAACAAAGGTTGGCTATGATATAAAATCCCTCAACCAGGCCAACCTTGTTGATCTTGATGTCGTTCACAATATCACAATTATAAATCAAATGCAAATGTCGTAAATACTATTTGCCATGACGTGATAGTACAGACTACAGTGTTGAGTGTGCGAAGAGTAACATTTTAACCTCTTTATTGACTGAAGACGAGCGAGACCGGCATTGAGAAAGATGTTGCATATTGGTTGGTTATTGGGAAGGTGTGTATCATATGCAGATTCCACCAGTACAAGAATGGCAGCAGAGAAACTTTGGTCTCCACTCTCATGTTTTCAACCTGGATTGCAGAAAGGTTAGAAACTACACTATCAAGAATTATACTCCTTTTTCTTCTCTTTATGTCTTCTTCTTCTTCTTCCTTCCTCTCCTACTCCTGTTACTTTGTCTTTCTCTTATTTCTATTCATCCTCTTCACCTTTTAAAAAATATTTGTTTATCCTCTCCTTTATACCCCGCCTTTAAAAAAATAAATTTTGAACTTTTTTTTCCTGTTTTTTACTCCTTTTTTTCTTCCTTCCTTTTTCCGTATTTATTAGTTTTATATATAGATCTACATGTAGACTATATATGAATGTGGAGTGATGTTTAATATTATACTATACACACAACCCGTTGAATATCAAGATCAAGATTTACTGGGACTCGGCTGGAGTCTTTGGAAAATGTGTCCTACAAAAATCAAATCGTATCCAATGAGTTAAATTATAAACCATGTAGGGAAGATGGTATTTTGATAATTTGTTATGCTGAATGATAGATTATCAATTGTTTGTTTAGAGAGCTAGAAGAGCATAATCCATCTAGAAAATGACACGAGTTAAAGATAAAGACCAGTTCTGGTCATGCGATTGCATTGTGAAAGAAACTTGGAATCGATCAGAAAAGGTTGATCATCTAGCATATAAGTATTGGTGTGTACTGCAAGGTTCTGGAATCATCAAAATGATAAGAAATTTGGCCCAGTATTCGTAAAGTTACAAGCACTGTACACAGAAAGATGTATATGGGACTACGCACACGTGCGCGACACGTGCGTTTATCTCTCACAGTCCAATAGATAAACTAATTTACCGAATATATCAATTAGTAGGCGGTTTCCCGGCAATTTTTTTTTCATCATACATTAGTCAAAACATATTCTTTCACATGATCGGTAATAAAGAGCTTCCATCTCATTTTTTGAAGTTGGGGCGTTTCCAATACTGGTCTTTACCTTTAACACCCTTCTGGCTCCTAACAGACAAAATATCATCATTTTTTTATCGTCATCGTTCTTATTCCTTGCCAATTAACCAAGTAGAACAAAATGTTTCATTCCAAATCTTAATGTCTCTTTTTTGTTTCATTTTGGCAGATGCCAATGTTGCACTGATTATTCTGAACAGACCAATCCATGATGTACAGCCTCTCCTCAAAAGAATATGGGATGGTGCCGTTATCAGAGCAGCAGCTGATGGTGGTGCCAACCGTCTACAGGAATGCATGTCACAAGAAGATCACAGGTATTCATCTGGCAAAATCTTACATCAGTTGTTCAGAGGGTATGTTTGGGAATAATGCCAAAATGATGAGGAAGGACATTGTATATTTGATTGTAAACAAAGAGAAATCTGTATTTATTTTATCACACAACCTTCATGAAATAAGCTGGATTATGTATAGTGCACTCAAGTACAAGAGTTCTGTTGGAAATTGTAAACATTCACAAATAAAAACACATAAAGAGCAAAAGGTATGCAATGTTTTAATCTAAGCACCAGATCCTTCATTTTCTTTTTTATTTTACATGATTTTTGTCTCGCCTGCGTAGCAAAAAGCGAGACATAAGGCGCTGCTTTTCCGGTGACGGCGGTGATGGCGTCAACATCAAAAACTTAACCTAAGGTTAAGTTTTTTAATTTTTAGTATAATTTTGAAAGTATAAGTTCTCATTCAATGAAACTTGAACTAAAGGGTTATCAAGTATTCCCAATTATGTGAGCAGAATTTCAGGTCACAAAATCAAGGTCAAAGGTCATTTCCGGTCAACAGACTTAGACTATGTTGTGACGTCATCATCGAAAACTTAACCTCGGGTTAAGTTTTTGAATTTTTAATATAATTTTGAAAGTATAAGTTCTTATTCAGTGAAACTTTGACTAAAGGTTTATCAAGTATTCCCAATCATGTGAGTAGAATTTCAGTTCACTAAATTAAGGTCAAAGGTCATTTCAGGTCAACAAACTTAGACTCTTTTGTGGCATCAACATCAAGATTTTGAAATTTAAGCATAATTTCAAAAGTGTTTGTTCAAATTCCATGAAACTTGTACACAATGGTTATCAAGTATCACAAATCTTATGACACAAATTCCAGGTCTCAAAGTCAAGGTCAAAGGTCATTTTCGGTCAGTATGTGAGGATTAAAAAAAAATATATTTTTCATGTTCCATCAAAGTTTTTAATCCTGGTACAAATTATAGTAAATAATTCTTCCGATGACTCTTGGTCAATATTCACTTCAAAATGCTGATTATATTTAGAGGATTTCATTGGGGGGGGGGGCTGCTAATGGGCCACCCCGCCTATGAATAATGTTCCAACCTCAATTTGTCATCGTATTGAATTGCATAATGCAGGCAAGACCGCCGAGAACGCTTCCCTTGTTTTTATTAGAGCTATAACATTTTCAAGAAAGTGAGGCCTGATATTTTATAAACTCATAAAAGTTCTTGATCTCTGGTAAGACAGCAAGTTAATTGGGGGGGGGGGGGGGCAGGTATTGTCCCCTATTCTTTTCCTCTGTAGATCTACCAGTACTTATGGTACCTTTTATTTTTCTCTTCACCAATTCAATAATACTTGTATCTAAATTGTTTTCAGATATGTTCCTGATATTGTCTCTGGTGACTTTGATTCAGTGAGGGAAGAGGTAGTCCAGTACTGCAAAGAAAGGGTATGATATATCAGTTTTCTTTGAAGATATGTGATGCCCTTGATTAGAAAGGGCAAGCAAATGGTTGCCAACTTGAAATATCTGGTAGGTTTCTCGAATGCCAGACAACTACCGTAGTTGTTTTGCTCTTTTTAACAACAGATGGCTGAGGCAAAGAAGAAAAAAATAATAATTGTTTCATTTTTTTTTTAAAGGAATATTTCAAAGCAACTGAAAAATGTTGGGTAATATTCCCATGCTACAACTCATCAATGATATGTTATTCTAAGTTTCTATGTGGAAAAAACATTCCATCTGTAGAAGTATTCTATATTTCCTTATAATTCATGAATTTTTGTTGTTCTGCTTTAAATTCACCTCTCTCTCTCTCTCTCTCTCTCTATTTGTGTGTAGGGAAGTGATGTGATCCATACACCAGATCAGAATTCTACAGATTTCACTAAGTGCCTTAAGATTGTTGTGAATATCGTCAAGAAAAAGTCTTTGGCAGTAAGTACAAGTTCTGTTATTATTTGTTTACATTTTACCCATGAGTGAAAATATGAGCTTGATGATTTTGACTTATAGGGGAACGAGCATAATGAAAAGTGAAAGTGCCTTGTGCAACTAAATCATTTTAAAACAATTACGCTCCGTGTAAATATAGCCAAAATGACTTGTTCAAAAAGACAATTATCTTTCATTATTATTTATTTCCACAATCATTAATAATATAAACCTAAAACCCATTTGCAACCCTTACTCTAACCCTATACATTTAACAAAATAATCCCTGGAGCATTTGGTAGACCACCGTTTTTGCTGTCCTTGATATTTTGTGATGATATTAAGTTGCGATTCTAATTTCTATATTTACAGGTGGATCGCATCGTGGTGTTTGGAGCATTTGGTGGTCGAATAGATCAAACTATAGCCAACATCAACACCCTCTTTCTAGCGTCGGCGGTAACGGACCTACCTGTATACCTTCTTGGAGATGACTCCCTAGCATGTCTACTATTTCCAGTAAGTGGGGTTCATTTTCCATGCTCCAGCAACATTTCCTCCAATATTCCTTCAGATATACAAGATAAGGGTTGTAATTGTGTTTTAGGTTAGATTTAGGTTTGATCATTGGTCCCCCAAGACCCCTTTTTCTAATGCTAATTGAGAGCTTTTTTGATGAGATAACCACCTGTCAGTGACCATGCAGAGAGGTCTGATCCCTCCTGGCCCTACTTGTGCAGTGGTGCTGTAAGGGAAGGGTTAGAGTTAGGTATAGTGTTGGTTTCACATTTGAAGTTAGGAATTCAGTTAAGTGCAGGGGATGGACCACAGAACAATTGCCACTGGAGTGTTGTACAACCTCATTTCTATATAAAACCAGAAACTTTTGCGACATGAAACATGAATTTTGAATTGTTGGCGATGGCCATTTGTTTAATAATGTCATGGTAACCTTTTTTTTTGGGGGGGGGGAAGGGTTGTTGTTGATGGTTAGACTATATCAAAAATTTCCATATTCATAGTCTAAAGTTTATAAGATGAAAGAAAACCAGGAAGATAAGCTGTAAGTAGACTGTTTCTGAATAAAATACTATTAGATATCATAAAACATTACACAAGCCTCATGGAACATAATGTGTTTGCCAACAGATAAATAAACTAGATTTTAAACTCAAAATGACTCTGTTTATATGTGATTCATGTTATAACAGGGCAGGCATAGGATTAAGGTGGACACTGGCCTCGAAGCCGAGTGGTGCGGACTCATCCCTATTGGTACCGAGTGCAAAAGGGCTTCAACGACGGGTCTCAAGTGGAATCTAGGTAGGTAATCCAACTTCTGTAATGATAATTATATTTTAATATATAGCGTCTAACACTTACTTTATCAGAAGACTCTAAGCGCTCTACAATAATGCAGCATAATCACCTTGGCTTTAGGAGCGCAGCTGTTACATGTGCTGCGTTTTTCCCATTTACTTTGCCTGGGTGGAGTGTGGCAAATGTAGATCAATGTCTTGTCAAAGGACATTAGTGCCGCGGCAGGACTCGAACCGCAGACCTTGTGATCGACATAGCGAAATAGCGACGTATCCACTCGACCATGACACCTCTACTGTAGACAGGAATGTGGGTACGGCTGGGCCGACTCTCAAACATGATACACATGTACATGCATCGCAATCAGGTCCTGTATGATACAGACGTCATACAGGTCATGGTATTGTTCTTACAGGATCTACATTAAAAGGACTTTCACTATGAACATGACTGACAAAGAAAGCGGACAAAATATACAGTTCCTCAGGTAGACAAAGGAACATCCCTTCACTGCTATTATGTTAAAATGTGTAGAACAGGTGTCACATGCATATTCACCTTTTTACATAATAGCAGTGAAGGGATGTTCCTTTGTCTACCTGAGGAACTGTATATTTTGTCCGCTTTCTCCGTCTGTCATGTTCATAGTGTTTGTAACATTGTTCAGATGAGAGGAAATGGTGCTAAGGTAGTGACTTCAATGCTAGATGTACAAATAAAGATAATCTGAAGTTTATTAATGATAACAATTGGGAAAAACTGATCTGATCAATTCCTTGATTCTCCCAACTATTTTATTACAATTTAATTAGAGGGTGTCGCACAGTGACACCTTCTTAGAAAAGAGAATTTTTTCAGGATTTTTTGCATGTTAGAGGGTTAGTACAGTAGAAGAAATATCATAAGTAACATTTCATACAAAAATTATGCAATTTTTTCATTAACCTTCAACAATTTTGCAGAGTCACTTTAATTGCTTTATACAGGGATGTGGATATATTCTGGTTCATATGCAGGGCCGCAGGGGTATTGCTAGACCACTGAGAATGAGGGATGGGGGTGTCAGAACAAATTTGCAGACACATTAGCCAACAAAAAAAGCAAATGGAAAGGTCCACAGATTTGTCACCCTTGCAGACTGAGACCTCTAACATTTCTTGCTTTTATACCAAATACCAAAAAGAAAGGTTGTCAGATTTTCAAAGTTGCCAGTGGTAAAAATGTGACCTTTGGATTTTCAAATTTGACAAGTTTCTTAATTTGCCAAAATTTTGAGAGGGAGGGGTTTATGCCCATAAAATCCCCTCCCCATGTAACAATATCCTATCTCACGTGTGTTGCATTTAGCTATGTATGATAGTTCTGAATGACAGGCTTACTGGGCCAGCATAGTTGCCTAATTCAGTGGAATGTTTTATAATAAAGCACTCTGCCATATCCTCTTTAGCCTGTTAAGCTGGCTTACATTAGAGTTGGCAAAGGCAATCACATTAGTGTGTGTGTTCAGTTGTATTAACATGAAACGTTCATACACTTTCCATCTGTAAAACATTATAAAGATGGTGTAGCTAGTTATATGGAGCAGAGACACCACATGCTTGCCCCTCCCCTTCTTTTTTATATGCCTCAATAGAAACATGATGTAAATATTCCCCATACCCTCCCAGCACTGGTATGCCTGTGGCATGTGATGTCAGAGTGCTGTTTGCAACCTAGGTACATCATTCTACCCCTTGTCCCTCAATATCTTGATTTGCCACTGGTCTTCATAAAAATCTTTTTTTTTTTTAAATTTGCTTTCAAGTATGGGTTTTAATTAATACTAAAATGAGGTCTTTATCACTTTTCATCACCAATTTTTGATTTTCATTCACTTACTTTTTTTACATTCAATCCCAAGCTCAAAACTTTGTTCTTTATGTCAGTGAGCATATTTATCTCAGTGAGCATATTTATCTCCTTTTACGGCATTTCATTATGTTACACTGATGTCGTATAAGTTATTTTCATTCTCAAAATATTATTTTCAGACAACCAATCCATGCAGTTTGGAGGTATGGTGAGTACGTCCAATAGCTACGCACCAGATGCACAAGAAGTGACAGTATCCACCGAACAGCCTCTCCTCTGGACGATGGGGATTCAAACTCTGACCTCTGAAGGTCACAATGGGTCATTAAGTTATAATGGATCATCAGAGCAATCAAAGCAAGAAGTTCCTGAATCACGTTCATGACCCACAAGGCCAAAGTATTGAAAAATATGTTGGGTACCGGTATAAGTTATTTGATTGCCATGAGAAATTAGCATTGCTTAGATTAAAGAATTTAAATGTTCACAGAAAGCACATTTATTTAGTCATCATATCTTAGTGTGTGATTTCTGTACAAACAGGTGGATTCTTACAAATCAAAATCAGGAGTTCATGAGAATTAAACTTTGTTAAAAAATGAAGTTACATAATTCATAAGCATGGAACTTAAAAAGAAGTAACAGATTATGGTGCGAATATTAATTTAGATGTGTTTTATTTTCTTTGTTAGTAAGTGCAATCTCAGATGCACTTTTTATTTTTAAGTAGTCAGATACAGTCATTGTTTAAAGATGCAAGATATTTTACCATGAAAATTCTTGCCTGCAATTTTGTGGTATATTATCACCAGAAGTATATATATTTAGTACATTGATTTACTTAACTTTGTCATTTATAATATCCAGGCAACCGTGGTATTCTCGATTCCCTAATGACAAAGCATATTGTTATTAGCAGTAATATTTTCCTGAGATTTCGGCAGTTTTACCTTCATTCACTGCACGCCAGTTCTTGCATGCCATTTTGAAATGTTTGCCTCATCAACTGAATTTATGTGCATGAAAACTGATGTGTATACCGGTAATAGATTTTATTTCATGGTGCTTTACAAACATTTTTTAATTTTTTGTTTGTTTGTTTGAATCATAGATTGTATCTAGAGTGTACAAATTACTCAGTGCACACAGTAATATATGGAAAATATGAGTTAATCAGTATGCAGGCACATGTTAAATAAATCATTAAAAAGAAGGAAAAAAAAGGGGGGGGGGGGGCAGGGGAGAAGGTATGACTTGTCAGATGCCATGCAATATATTGACGCTGTATACAGTTGATATTTGTGTTTGTGATTGTTATACATGTATTACTATATTCAGTCATCTACTATAGGGGAACATGCTCAACCTTGGAATTACTAGAGTAACTAACTCAGGGATTATAAATTTATAATTATGGTGTGTATAACGATTTGAAATACTGAAATATGTACAAGTTTTCCTATGCAATATCTTGTATGTACATGTTGTTTATTAGTATTGTACCAGCGTGCCTTGCATCAGTTCATTATGAAGGATGAATATGTATATGTTGCTGTTCAAATGTAATTGCCAGTACTGTCGAAATCAGGGTTTTATTTAACTTTTGGAAGATGGAATCTTATGTAAATGCTCGGGTCAAGAGTGACCCTTAGACCTACTACAGGCATTGTGATGCCATGGATTATAGAGGTGTCGTGGTCGAGTGGATACGTCACCGGACTGTCGATCACAAGGTCCGCGGTTCGAGTCCCTCACTAATGTCCTTTGGCAAGACATTGATCTACATTTGCCACACTCAACCCAGGTGATGTAAATGGGTACCTGGCAGGAATTAATTGCTTGAAATGCTGGAGCGCTGTATAAACGGCAGCTAGGCTAAAGTCGGGGTGATAATAAATGCACCTCAGAATAGAATTATCTAGATAGACGGCGCTATAGAAATGCCTATTATTATGTTGTTTGTCTCCACTCATGTTTACTAAAAACATGCATTTTCACTGATTTTGATGTACATGTATTCTAATTAATTCATGTATTCATTTTGTCTACATCTTTTCTGATTGTAAACGGCCATTTGGTGTGAATGATTTCTTATCAACAAGACGGTTTTAAATCATTTAAATAATTAAAAAATGAATAGCCAGCAAATACATTTGCCTCAATACGAGTAAAGACTGGTGGGAGAAAACTAGCAGAAGATTAGTGTCAGCTGTAAGGCTTTTCATTGCTTCGTGTATAAGACTTTAGCACAATGGTTGTTACATATTTATTTCATGCACTAGCAATTTTATATAAGATAATTTTAGTAAAACATATCTGGATGAGATGTGCCAAATTATGAGCTTGTGTAAGTTGATGGAATATGCATTAAAAAAAAAAAATCAACACGACACTTTTTGTATGAGATTTTGAATTGGGCGAGGTTGCTGGTAACTCATTTTCACGAAGGGCCACATGAAGGGCTGCTCTCATGCTAGACTTTCCTTTAACAGATCTAGTCTGTATACATATGGCAACCATATATACCTACGTTTAACAAGCTGGTGTATGAAGATATTTTATGAATGCTGTTAAAGAAAATTCCCAATGCAGCTTCCTCATCTCTATAAAGCCTTAAATATTCATATTATATTGAGCATATTATTATTACTATTTTAATTATTGTTATTATTTAAGTGCAAGCTGATTTATAGGTTTTACTTTGTTATCCCTTGGCACATGTAATACAAAAATAGATTACACCAGTCCTAAAGGAAGTATTGCAACTTGCTGGAATCCATACAGTATCCAATGAAAAGCACAACTCATAGTCCATGTTTATATCCACATGGGGGAAGACTACTTGCTTGGTTTACTATTAATAATTAAGTCTTTCTTCTACAATATTTTTGATGGAATTCAATTAATTGTTACTATTTATATGACTTGTTGAATATTAAATATACATTTGATTTAATTCTGTGCGGGTAGATTATTTGTTGTTGTTACCAGAACCAAAAATTACATGTAAGAGGCATTATGAAAAAAGAAGCTGATAAATGATTGTAGTATTTCAAATTGTCACTTGCCACTAACCTGAAGATGCTCATTATTTTTGTTTACATCTTTGAAAGCATTTATCGTGTAGTTTTTTTCCTTCATTAATAAGGTTGCGTTTGTTCACATAAACATGTTACAGTGGAACCTTGTTATTAAAAATGACGACCATGAAGCCGACTTTGTTATATCAGATTTCTTGTTGCATGTGTATAAGGACATTCTATCATAATATGAAGTGTGCTAACCTTGAGCAAAAAAAAAGAAACAGGTAAATTCGTGGTTACCAGGTTGTTGTTTTTTTTTTTGCCAGTGGGGGGGGGGGGGGGGGGGGCAAAGGCCCATGATCCCCCTTGGTAAATCACTTATTTAGGAGGATGAGCAGTATTCAATCCGATGTACATGTATTACTATTTGCAGACATCTCTCAAATCAATCTTTCACAACAAATGAAAATCAGTAAATGTTAAGTTACCAACGAACTATTTCAGTGCTTTTACACTTTGTACCTGCTTGGCATACAAGAATCCTCCACATCAAAAATACTAAGTTAGTAAGACATAATCAACCTCAGGATGTCTGCAAATAATTGTACATAAATAATACATGTATGAACTACAGCTTGGCTTTTCCATTGCAGAACAAAAAAGGACATGCAAAAAATCATAAACTTTAAACTTAGGAACTTTATTTATTTATATAATATAACAGGGTTGGAATAATAATTACATGCTTACGGTACTGAATAAAGAAAGAAGAAAATGAGGATCCAGGTTTGTCTGTAGTGCATTGCTGCAAAAATGGAATTTATCGAACGATAGAATAAAAATCAAGTAAAACATTCTTGACAGGATTATTCTTTTATTTTGTGTGGTTGTTTTCAATAACCCTAAAACTACACTATCAACATCTCATCATGATCTTGCTTGCTGTAATGTACATATTCAATTAATTAATTTCACTCAATACAAGTTCATATTTAACATATCACAATACATCTGTGGGAATGTAATCTTTCCCCTAAAACAGAACTGAAAATGTCATTTTGGGAAGTGGGTTGTGTCATCTCTCCATTCCAGAAACATGTAAATTGGCAATTTGATGTTTAATTCTGGATGACTTCAAACTGGTGCGATAGACACCCCATAAGGCTTGTCTCTGCAGATAGTCTTTGTATTAGATTTGAGCAAAAGCAAAGTTCATGCAGTGCTTTGACAAGGGAGAATGGGTGACTGGTTTTGATGATATTCTTGGTTGATTCTTTGAAGATAAAAGAGGGATCCAAGTTTCCAGCATGGCATGCAGTGTGTGTGTGAGAGAGTCCCCATATCCCTAGAAAAGATCACGCACTAAGAGCCCCTGTAATATGAAAAACAAAAGACGCAATATTGTTTAGATATATTGAAAGGCAAGTTACAATTTATTGCAATAAGAAAAGAAAAAAATAGAAAAAAGGCAGTTATATTTTGTATCATTTACATTAATAATTGCTTGTATATCATTTAACTCTATCATGAATGTAAAGGCGTTAATATCTGAAGTTTTCTTTTCCTGTTATGTATATTTTCTCTCTGGAGAATCACTTGGCATAAACTTGGCATATTGGCTAGACAAGCTGTTTATAAAAAAATTAAAATAAGGAAATTGCTGTCTCTATCTGTTACCAAATCTGTAGAAATGGATGTTTAATATGATAGGTATAAACACCTTTTTTTTTAATGTTATAAATGTGACCACCATATTTGTACTCTTCTCTGCATAAAGTCTCAAAATACTGATTTTAAAAAATAATAATAAAATTAACAATGCAAATAGTATTACTTACACAATGATGTTGTTGATTGGAATGTGGATAAGCTTGACAAAGAATCCAATGAAACCCATGATGCAGAATCCAATTGCTGTGGCCATTGCAATTTTCTGGAACTCTGTACAGGAAAGGAAAGATAATATGTAAGTGTGTAGTAATGATGATTTCTTTGGAGTAATTTATTTGAGGTGTAGCACTGACCACTTGCATTGCAGATCATGCATAAATAATTTGAACTAATAATATATCTGTCTCCAAACAATCCAGACACTTCAGAACAATTTTTGAGAAAAAATAAGGGAAAGGTCTCAAGTCAATTTCTATTTCTGATAAGTGGATTGTTAAGTGAGAGAAAAATACTAAGAACCTTCCATTTAAAGTTAAAACATGAAGAACAAAATAACAAAAATGGGGAAAAACAATTTTTTAAACCATTAAACAATAAATGAAGGAATCCTTAAACTCTATGTAAAGGGGGAGTGAAACGGCTGAAAATAAAGTTCATTTCCTACTATGTATATGATAGGTGGCAAGTAATATTTACCTTTCCTATCTGGCTTTGTGCATCTTTTGACAAGCCTGATGGAGTCCTTGGCGAACTGCTTGGCAGGTTCAATCGTTTGCTGAATTTGATCCATATTTGTAAGGTGATGTGTTTGATAGAAACCTGTAAAATAGAGGGAAGAAATAGGCAGGGTAAGTAGGGCAATAAACATCCATTAGTCCCTCTATAAGAGTAATGTATACATTCAATTATCATGCCCCTGACGTTTTCAATATTGCTTTAGAACTTGTTCCTCTACATTGACACTGTTACAGCATGGCACATTGCTAATTTCCAAATAATGACCTAAATCTGTAATACATCAAAGTAACAATAAAACTGACTGCTCAGGTATTATTGCCTTTTATATACCTCACTTAAGTAATCCAGCAATCTGATTGGTCGAAATTGCATTCATAAACTTTAACTGTTCCCGAAAATTCTCGGTAACCATGGTTAAAAAAACAGTTCAAAATCCCAATAACCATGGTTATTGGGAAAATAGGTCAGTCTCCATGGTTACCCCATAGGTTTACATGTTAAAAAATGGTCTGAACGATCGAGGATACCATACGTGTGCGAAGAATTGGTCGGTAATTTCGATACAATTGAATCTCGATCGATCTTAACGACAATTTTATCTTGCATTGTTGACATGAAGACGAAAATAAACTTCAAAAAAAAAAAAAACAACATCTGCCGATAGATCTTGATCTAAGTTCGTGCCAATATGCATTGCAAAAGTAAAAGAAGGGCCCGTTTAATGGAGCAGCGGCGAAGCATCGACCACGCGAAGCCGTTTTTTAATTCATTTTAATGTATATATTAAAGAAAACTACTGTACATGGTGACAGTGCGCGCTGGCCGAGCGGTTTGAGGCGCTGACTGTAGTTACATCACCTTTTGTAAGCAAGAGTTCGAATCCCAGCTTCGACAAAAGTTTTTTTTTTTTTTTTTTTTTGGCATATAAAAGTATTAATGACTGCTTTAATATTTGAGAAATAGTTGTTTTTATACGCTCTCGGGAAGGTTACAATTGGGCTATTCCCCTCGGCACGCCTCGGGGAATAGCACAATTCTAACCTTCCCTTGAGCGTATAAAAACAACTATTTCTCTCAAAGCAGTCATTAATACTATAATAGGGTGTCTGAACGATTTTTCAATTTTCAATTTGGGATCGTTTTTCACCATTTTTGTTTGATATTTGAATTAAAAATGTAATCAGAATAATACATTTCAAATTTCAAGTCTCGCCGATGTTTCTATCAAAAGATACAGCCCCTTCAAAATGCTGAAATATTCATAGCATTTTGCTCAGAATCGACGAAAAAGACGTACACGCAGAGTTATGTTGTTTTGCTAAATTTAGCCAAACAGCTGTATCGCGCGATATGCAAGCGTATGCATATCGTACGCAAGTTTGCTCAGCCAATGCGCGACTTGCAAGCTTGAGCCACGCTGTCTCCGCGATATGTGCCATTGACTAGTATGGGTGGCCGTTCCCGCTATAGAACCCGGAAGTGAATACACGTTGTAGTCAATGGCAATATCGCGGAGACAATCTCCGCGATATTGCCATTGACTACAACGTGTATTCACTTCCGGGTTCTATGGCGAGAATCGGCCACCCATACTTTCATTCACTATAAGCGCACATGTTACGATGTAACCATGGTTTGGACTGAGCGGAGCTCACGCCTCCCTAATTAGCTGATTCCAAAAATGTGGGAAGGGTATTTTCAAACTGTTATAACAAATGATCCCTTGGGGCTAGCGAAAAAAAAAGCATCTGGATATTATCCTTACGTCTAGCCCTGCTTAAGCCGCGGGGGCGCAGCTCAGGAAAGTGGCAAATTTTGGAGCTAGGATGCAAACAACATTTCAATCGCTGTTTTGACCAAGATATTTTTAGAATTCTGGGGGTGGCCCCCTATGGGGAATATGGAGAAAAACCTGCTCTTTCATATGACACCTCATTTATTGAGTTTCACCTTCAGGATCATTTGTTATAAAGGTTTGAATTTCAAATTTTTTCATAAAATCATTGACCAATTTTGGATGGTCGCGCAATGCACGTAGACCACATAGGGAAGCGTACAATCTCTATGGGAAGGGTTTTAGCACACAACATTGGGTGCGCGATCAGACACCCTAACTATAATGTATTCTGCTCAGCAAATTGTCAGTGATTTTGTATTAGGGATTTCCTTTTGCACTTTAATTCCTGTAATTAAATGCATACTGTAAAACCAGAAAATGTGCATGTAATTAGGATTCATGAAAGTTTGATACCGAGAATTAATTGAAATTACAACTGAGAACTGACACAACACTGAATTTTTGCAATTTGGGAAAGTTTCTTGCAATGAAAAATGGCCATTGTTAACAAATCTGAAATATTTAATTTTTAACCATTCTTGGGTTTAATTATTATCTGACTTTTGAGCTCTAGAACGTGGCTTTCATATTTTACACAAAATAAAGAAAAACATTTTGGGGAAGAAAAAAAAAAAACCAAACCAAACTGTGTTATGTTAGCAAAATAAAAGCCACTTCACTTGGAGTGTTGTACTTGGTCCTGGAGTCGGACTCAGGAAATGACATAAAATGCTACATCTTGGTTAGAAAGAAAATCAAAGGAAATCACTCATTAAGAGACATGAAGTGCTAATGTGTGGAGTGAATGGTGGTTCCTACATGTATTTCACAACATTGTCAGTGTTTAATACTGGGACTTGCGCTTGCGCCTGATATTCCAGATGTTTCCAATTTTAGGTTACATCAGCATCAGCGTACGGGACTAAAAGCGACACAGAAAACTGAGCGAGTGATTTCTTTAGCAGTTTGAGACGCGGTCTTATGTACACACATGCAATTAACAACATTCAATATTGTTTCAAAGAAATAAAAATATTATGAACAACATCAACAAGCATTCAAATTTACCTATACAAGTCAAGAACCGTCAAGTAACTGAAGGAAATGCCAAATTGGACAGCAATCGGCGACACCAACAAGCAAAGAGAGAGAGAGAGAGTACGGAAGTGATACGTTGCACTAATAATACATTGCATGATGGGATAGTTTGTCAACGTTTTCCGTCCGTATGTTTATGCAGATCTATAAGAGGGCGACATGGGAAGGGGGGGGGGGATGCATCAAGGGGATTCGATCATTATTTGAATAGTGGAGGGGAAGGTGCATAGCCATAGGGTAGGACATAGGCCATAGGGTTAGGGTATAGGTAGCAAGAGGAGACGATCCGCCTGCGTTATCTGCACAGTTTATTAAATCACAATCCAAGTTTCACTGGCCCCTATTAGGCTGTTTAAAGATGTGAGCAGCAGCCACCCCCCCCCCGAATAGTTTCAACTGTAGAAATAAAATAAAAAAATCATCGGAAGCCGTAGTTTAGCTTCATCCTCAACTAATAAAGCTCAAGATGTTATAAATAGAATGTGAAATAGACTGACATTTAAAAAAAATATTTAAAAAAAAATTATAAATTTAATTATGTTATCACACGGGCTAAAAAATATAATCAAGAGCCCTATACAGATAATTTTCGGGGATTAAAAATAGCGAAAAATTGTTAATCAGGGAGTGATTAAATGGCCAGTGGGCTTTGTAAAATTTGTAATTTGTAATGACCTTGCTCTGAGAGCCTTTTGGTCAACAAAGCGAAGGAAGGTAAATGAGTTTTAAAAAAAAAAGGACTGGAACTGCATGCAGGCACGTAGCCACCGGGGGGGGGGGGGGGGGGGGGCAAAAAAATGTCCAGGATCGGTTGAACTTTTTTAAACCCCTTTTTCAGTTACCTTGATCGATTACATATTATGTGCCCCCCCCCCCCCCCAAGCATCAAACTCTGACTACGTGCCTGACTACATGTACAATAAAACAGAGCAAGGAGCACTCCTCCCTATGTATAACTGCAAGCCTTAACGAGGCACTCTATGGATCAATAAGAATCAATAATCAATAATCAATAAGACACAATGGACCCGATGTGTGGAACTCCTTGCTTATAACATTTAAATTATGTACAACACTTGTTTCCTTTAAAGTGAAGATGAAAGAATATTTATTGATAAGGTATGAAAATTAGATTCTGGTCATAATATACTACATGTACTTGTTTTAATATAAATATTCATTGTTTATTTGTATATAAAAAGGAAATTATTTGATAGATTGAGAAGCTCGCGCAGTACACTTCACTTTGCACAGCACTCTCTTCATCCGCTCTCAGTTCTTCCTGTCTCCTCTCCTCCTTTTGTAAGGCCGGTATCATTTCAAGCTCTGCTTACGATATCGGTCTTCTACATTCTCCCCCTTTTCTTTCTTTACAAATACGATTAATTGTACTAATGATTATTTATATTTATTTATTTGTGAATTACTACTTGTATTACTTATCATTATATTGCTAAAATGTATTCATTGTTATTTTTGTTATTGTTTATGGAAAATGCAGAAATAAAACTTGAAACTGAAACTGAATAAAGATTCTTTTGAAGAGTTCGGGTTACCAACACGGAAATAAGAGGGCATTATGTCTACTCCCTTTATGCATCCACTTGATCAATCCACTCCCTCGCACTCTATAGCCCATCCTTATCTCTGCATGGAATATTTTAATCATAAATAGGAGCTGGAAAAGGGAACATTTCTTCTGTTACTCACAATGTTTAGATCTCTTATACCTTTTTAAAGTTTCCTAATGTATGTCATCAAAATATAGGCCTAGCCTACTCTATGTCAAATGCACGTTGTAAAAATGAATACAATTAACTTTCCCCGAGACAGAGATGAAGGAGAGACTCGAGGAGAGAGAGAGAGAGAGAGAGAGACGGGGGTGGGGAGAGAGAGAGAGAGAGAGAGAGAGAGTTCTATATGTATATTTAAAAAATGTAAAATTGGCTTTAAAAACCGACTCGAAGATAATTCTTCTTGAACATTCTTTCTTCTTCTTTTTTGTTATTGTCATGGAACAATCTCCCCAATTTTGTACAAACTGCTGATTCTCTAATGACTTTCAAAAAACACCTCAAAACACACTTGTTTAACTAATGCCCGCTTACCAGCACTTGTTCTTGCTCTTCTATTACCTGTCTTACCCTTTATTTTGTTCATTCCTATATTGTTGCATACATGTCTCATTCTATACCTTCTATTTTGTTGTTATCAATAAGAAAGCATCTTTCTATTTTGTTAATTGTTCATTGTATTATCAGCGCTCAAAATACACGGGGGCGGTGGGCGATTCGCCCCCGTGAGCTACAAAATCGCCCCCGTCAGGTTGCTCACGGGGGCGATTGCAAAATTAAAAATCGCCCCGGTGGAATTATAAAATAAAGATAATCTTTTCTGTTATAACTTTTACACAATATTGAGTTTCAATTTTCAAACCTTAAACCAATGAAATGGAACTAAGATTAGCGTGCAAGATTTCTCGTTTTATGAGTAGGCCTATTATTACCGATTCAGCTCGCAGTGCAGTGCCGCCGTCAGCAGTGGTTATAGGCCTACTGCGCCGTTAGTAGCGGGACGTGTGCACGCTGCCGCGCCATGTCTGCTGGAGCTGGAGGCGATCGGGCAAGGGCAGAAACATGGTCATGGCCTGGAGAAGTTTTTCGTTGTCAGCAAATAATGAACCTCGACAAGTAAATCAATGTTAGGGACTTTTAGATTTGCACGATGAGAACGTGGACTGCAACGTGTGACCTCCTTTTTAAGGCACTGCCAGTGCTTAAAAGGACGTCACATGTGATTGCCAGTGCCTTAAAAGGACGTAAAACGTCCACGTCCCCTAACAAAATTGAGGGGAGGACGTGTCCCCCCCGCCCCCCCCCCCCCCGGGATCGCCGCCCCTGCGTGGAATGATATGGTAACATGGGCAGATCTACGCGGGGGGGGGGGGGGGGGTAGGGGTTTAACCCCCTCCTCCCACCCCCCCGGCCCCCTTGGGCTGCCAAGTGAAAATGTGATATTAAAGCGGGGGGGGGGGGGAGAGGGGGATTCTGGAGAGGAGGACTACTAATCTATTTTATTTTTTTCAGGGGGCGGGGGGAAGTGAAGCGCCGTTTGAGCATGACTTTCTTTTTAACTCTTACTTTCACCTATCTCAGATAACCCTAAGTTTTTGGTTGCTGCTTTATATGTAGTTGATAATGCATGATTAAAATAAATAAAGAGAGAGAGAGAGAGAGAGAGAGAACCACCATCATTTTGCAATGGTTCAGGGTTCGTGTAATGTAAATTTGAAACCATTTCTTAGCGTCTCAACCCTAAAAAAATAGCAAAACTATTTTTGAGGAAAAGCATTATACTAAATTAAATAAAGAATAATAGCTTCATATTGGATCATACTAATACTGACACGGGCTAAAGACAATGTGGTATTTGTATAGAGGTATTCCAAAATGACATTCTGATAATCAACATTTGTTCTGGTATCATACGCATAATACAACTGATCTTTATGATTTTTTAACGTGACATAGCTTCTTCTCCCTCTGCAAACAAAACAGAAAACAAGGTTATTTAATAAAAGGACCATGCGACAAATAATCATTGTGATTCAAATTGATGCAAGCATTTTTTTTGAATAAGCAATGCTTTTCACCAGAATCTTCTTTGTAAAAAAACGACTTTTACAAATCTCAGCCATGCAATTCTACCACTGTGATGTAAGATCACTTTGAGATTAGGAGAAGTGTATTATGTAATGGGTATTTTAAATTGAATGAAACGTCTCAACTCAATAAGCATGGCTGAGATTTGTAAAAGTTGTTTTTACAAAGAAGATTCGGGTGAATAGCAGTGCTTATTCAAACAAATATTCGCATCAATTTGAATCACAATTATTATTTGTCGCTTAATCCCTTTTAATGACCATGTTTTCTTTTACGTTTGCAAGGGGAGAAGAAGATATGTCACGTTAAAGACATCATAAAGATCAATGTTGTATGCGTATATATTATATACACAGGCCAGTAACAGCTATGTAGCTTGTAAATTTGTAAGAGGGAAATTGCTGATTGAAATGATAATGCTGAAATAGCAAATAATTGAGGAGCATCATAGGTACCAATTCAATGGATATTTGTATAAAAAAGAGCCCCCGTCAGTAATAAAAGAGCCCCCGTGAGAAGGCTCACGGGGGCTCTTTTTTCGGGGGAAGAGCCCCCGTGGACAAAAAATTAATTTGAGCCCTGATTGTATATGTTAATTAAGCGCTTTGTATCTACTTGTAGAAAAGGCGCTATACAAATGTTCATTATTATTATTATTAAAGGTAATGTGATCAGAAAATGCTGTTTGAAAAAAAAAAGACGCCATGGCAGCTCGGAAGGAAATTATACATCTACTGCATTTCGCAAGAAAAGATTGATGTAAATATTATGATGTTTCCTTGGTAATCTACCACCCTCATGCCGTAATGGGGTGATTTGGTAGAATAGGGACATTACGGAGAGGTGAGTTTTACTTATTTTCTCCCGGAAATATGATGCAAGCCCCATTCATTAGCCTCCAGTATTCATGATTGATATACTGCATCATTACGTTGGACGAAATGCAATGTCAAAAACACACTTTTCAAGTATTGTTCCTATACCCAGTTTAACGCGGTACCAAAATTATTTCCCGTAGCAAATTGCCGAACATATTCATTTCCGCTGTGCTGATCATCCCCGGGTAGATTGGAAATTCATTATCTCTAGTCTATTTTGACATTTTTGTCCATAAATATCGCAAACTAGATGAGTAAGATACAATAAGTTTGAAGAACCCCTGCCAAAAAATATAATGAAAACTTAAAATATATATGAAGAAATACAAAAAAAAACTTTTTCTTACTTCTAAATTTTGTTTGAATGAAACAATCCCCATCATTATATTTGTTAAATAATATTGTCAAAAATCTAGTTCTGTTACTGAATTTCATAATTCGTTTATGTCTGCGACACCTTATGTATACTATAACACTTTAAAAAGTCTTTCCTAATTTATTGGTTAAGACAACTATCGAATAACAATAAAATCAAATTAGAATGGAAGACAAATATTGAAGAAAAAAAATAGATAAAATGTAATCAAAAGATAAATCAC